TTCACAAAGCGAGCATTTACCGAAAAAACGACCGGACTTCATGCAAAAAACCAGTAATCATGCACCTGGATGTCCTTGCGGCCCTATAATGCATCATCTTCATCCCAACTGACGCCTTTCCTCCTGTATATCGGAAGGGGCCAAAGCACGGCCAATATGAGCCCAAGTTTTAGACTACAGCGTAGGGATCATTCTTGCTGATAGCGATCTGCGAGTTTAGCGCAAAAACGCATTATTGCACCGGAGAGCCTGGTGCGTTCCAGCCTGGGTTTTGAAAGCGCAGCAATCATTTTCAACGATGTTTCTGTTGAATTTTGAGCGTGGCTTCCCGATTTTTCCTGGATTATCCAAGATATCTACCTGAAGCCGTAGGTTGAGGTACGAAGCTGTGAAACTAAATTTCAGGTTTTTCGCCCCAAGCTTTTTCGCGAACTATTGCCTGTGAATTTTCATTTTGTAGCTTTTCTGGTTTTCGTGCCACAGAATTAGCTCGAATTTATGTTTGATGATGCAGTTTGAAAAACACAGCAGTATAGCTTGGCTACAGATGTGTGACCCCTTACATGGCAGAAAGCTGTGCATCCACACGTGTGGCAGTAAAAAGTCACAGATGTAGGTTCTGAAATCGCATTTTCTGACTGTAGTTATATGTTGTAGGAAAATTAGGAGCACATCAGAACATGGAAGAGTGTGAAATACCATGATTTTAGCGTTTCTGAATTCCCAGGTAGCTGCAGATTATGCTACAAGAGTTTCAGCTTCCTGGCTTTCGTAGCTTCAAAATTCACTTGTTTGAACAGTAAGACAAATATGCATACACGGTCAGGCACCGCCATGCTAAAATTCAAAAGCATTTTTTTTAGAAATTGGTTTGGGAAAAACTGGAAAGGAGAAACTGCAAAAATTTACAGTTGCACTGTAGCTGACTGAATTTTAGGAAATTCTTTCCATGCTGGATGATGATGAGAATGGTAACCCGAAAACTGTGCTAGCGAATGGGCTAGAACGGCAACAGGGTACCCGATGGCATGAATTTAAATCTGGAAAAACACGATATCAACTACCGTTCAGTCGCAACTGGTTGCATGCCTCAGCAAATGATGATAACAAGGTGCGACTTAAACGTTTATTACAACTTGTTGACCTGATTAAGCGTATGCGCGCCGGATCTTGTCTAGTATGAACAGGCCGCATTAATGTTGTGGCAGAAATGTGCTAGTTATGAATATTCACCATGGCAATATATTTTTAGGGTGTACATCATGGTAATGAGTTTTGCGTTTCATGTGTCGTGAAAAAACTTTGAGTGACAGACTTGTCACTGACATTGTCAGTGCGCCAGAACTGAAGTCTCCTTGGCGCAAATACATTTCGACTGACACTTTTTCTACTATCTTTCTTTTTTTTTTCAGCATTCTTGTGATGCCTCCAGTGAAGACAGTGACGATTTGCCAACGGATGTTCAAGCCTCCACGATCTGTGTCGCTCCCAGCATGCCACCGTTCACGGTTGACCCGCGACATAATTCTCTGAAACGTCGTCGAAGGTCGCGTGTCAGTATTTCCGAGCGTTTACCCTATCCTGTTGACGCGATTATCAAATCATCCACCACTAGCGCTTTCGGAAATGTAAAAATTATTTTAATATTTGAAAATCTTGTTGATAAGAATAGCACTGCAACAACAGAATAATTGTTGTCTCACCTTATTTCTTTTTTTCTGTAGCGTGGTGTGGAATCTTCTGGAAAAAAATATTAGCTTAACTGTTTGGTGCCTCATCTTCAGCGATAACCCGACCCGATTTTGCACGTGTTTTGATCGCTCAACGCCGTAGTACACACCAAACTTTGTAGGATCTGTTTTATGCACAGAATCGCCGTTAACTGCCGTTAATCCGGAATTACAGCACAGCACCGATCGTGGATATAAAATACATTTTATTTGAACGGCCGACGAAAGCCATAAAGGAATTGATTGTGTAGCTTGCTTCTTCCTGCAAAATCGATTTTCTTTTTTGGTTTCCGATCCTTTACTTGGCCACTTGTCAGAATGCAGCAAAAACCACAACTAATTTCAAACAATTTTCTTATTATTCGACATATTTGTCTCGAAATTTCCATTTTGTGCTTTTTTGTTTCCCGAATACAAAATTAACCTAAATTTGGCTGTGGGATTATAGGTCAGAATACAAAAAGATTTTCAAGTTTGTGCACTCGCACATGTGCCTACATTACGCTTCTTATTTTGATTTGCTATCTTTCATAGTTGTGCGAATATTGCTGTGGAGAGGTGCAGCAAGCATCACAGGTACGACCTCATCTCAAATTAATTACTCATTTAAAGCTCGTAAATGTAGGGTTGGAACGTATGGTTGTGAGCCAAGGAATACAAACCGGCCCTTTTGCAGAATAGAGCTGTGCCAACAAATTATCGGGAGACGAAGGTGTGTGGGACCTTCATCACAACTGAGTCCAACTTGAATTTGAGGAATCATTATGTGAGAAAATCGTTCTTTTCAATATTTGTTTAGAGCTTTTTCATCTCATGGAGCTATCTCCTCCATGAGGTATCAACCTTCTGCACATTTTGCAAGACACTAGGCTAAGGAAATGGCGTAAGCAGAACATCTTGACTGGAAGACATGTTTGGACGGAGTTTATCGTTACAAGAAGCGTCTGCACAAGCTAGTTCAAGTTTTTCATTTTTAGCTGCCTTTAACAAAGTATCAATATTTTCCACTTCTGTGCCGCTCCACATCAGCTGCAGATGGGAAGGGGTTCTTCGGTGAATCCGAAACAGCTGTCGTCGTGATGATGGATGATAGAAATTCGAAAGCGCTAAATACGTGAACGAAATGGAAATGGTGGTAGGATTCTGGCAAGGCTAAAATTTTATGCCTGGATTCAAATATCTGATGAGAACAAAATACTTAAAATATACAACTTAACCTGTAGCGTCTAGACGTATGCCGCGCATTCCAGCTGACTTCTTCGCTGCTCCTTTTTGGAGATTGTTTTATGCTACACCGAAGAACACTGAATTATCTACGATTGCTGAGTAGAGACTTATCATTGTTTTTCATTTCAGCTGTGTGTCAGAGGCAGCAAATTCTGACTGATGTCAGTGCACTGACATCTTTATCCAAGCCTTAAATCTCTTTCTTTACTGCCAGCATTTTG